GGAGCTGTTGGCTCGCTTGGAAGAGCTCGTCATGCTGGCTTTCCTGATGAACTTCGCTGTTCTCACTACCCAAGGAGCTCGGGACCTTGTCGGCACTGAGAATGGCTTCGGTTCGCTTTAGGGAAGCTCTGGTCCTCACTCTGAGCATCGCTTCCTGGCTGCGGAGGGGAAGATGGTGCACTGCTCGGTCTCTGGAGGAGCTTGCTGCGTTGGCTTTCCTGACGAGATCCGCTTTCCTCATCGTCAGAAGTGTTCGGGACCTCACCGTTGCTGAGGGTGGCGGTGGTACTTTTCCGGGGAGCTCTAGTTCTTACTTTGCACATCGCTTCCTGGCTCCAGTGCAGATCCTTCATCCTGCTGGCACAGACTCTCCAGCTTCCACTTACCTTTGGGCCTTCCCAGCGCAGATCTGTGAAACAGACCTGCATGAGGTCTTGTCCTGGGCTCTGGGCCTCCAGCTGGACTCACGGGAGGCACTGTTACTGCCTCTAGGTCTTCAGCTGGACTCATGCAGGACATTTCCATGGGATCCAGGCCCTCAGCTGGATTCTTTGGTGTTTAGTGTGTGCAGAGATTTCCTGTGCTCTCTGTGTATATGGTTCTTTGGGTGACTGTTGTGAATAATCTTATAAACTGTGTCCTGTATTACACTGTTTCTCCTTGTAAAAACCCCAAACCATGACAGAGACCCTGTGTTACATACATTAATTAAAAAGAAAAAGAGAAAGAAGCTGGCTGGAAGCAGACTTCACTGGGCATTCTCATTCCTTCAGGTCTCCTATCCCTACTGAACAGTGCGTGTCGTTCCCTGTAATTGCTCAAAGGAAGAGGTTTTTGAATTTTTCATCTTTAAACTGGTGTTTAAATTTTGGAGGAAATGGCCAGGGCATTTGATGGTTCATACCAGCCTCAGGGAAGAGGGAGGAGCACTTCCTTAATCTGACATTTCAAGTGCCTAGGCCAGAGCCAGGGAGCCCACACCCTGGGGCATTGCCAAAGCCGACAGCCTTGGCTGGAGCCGTGCATGCACAAAACACATGCACCTGAATACGCACAGGCCTGTGAAGGACTAGGGGGCCCTCATTAGAGCTGATGGGCGCAGGCAGATCTGGTTCTGAGGTTACTTGCACTTTTGGCATTACCAATGGTAAGGACAAAACCCTCCCACCTTTTTCTGCCAACTCGAGCATCTTCTGCCCTGACCCCTGGTGGCTGCAAGTGGTCCTACAGCTCTTGGCACCCGGATCTTTCCAGTTCCAAATAGTCTGATGGCCACAGGCAAAAATTAATACTGTCATTTTGAAATTTTAGGTAGGGAACAGATCATCTCTTAGAGGTCTTAAAAAAAAACAGCTGCTGGGCACGGTGGTATAATCCTAGCACTCGTAAGGCTGAGACAGGAGGATCACCATGAATTTAAAGCCAGGCTGGGCTACTTAATGCGTTCAGGTCCAGCCTAAATCACAAAGTAAGACCCTGCCTCAAAATCTGTTATGTCTTACCTAGTGAAAGAGGTCACTGCTGCGATTCTGTGGGCCCACTGTGGCAGGAGAACCCAGGGTGCAACGACACAAGTGTGCGCCTTTGTGACCACGCCTGAGCACACACACTAGGAAGCAGGCCTGCAATCCCCGTGCACGTGCAAACACCAGCGCCGTTCTCCAACAAGTTCTGTACGCATTTTATTTCGTTCTGACAATGAAACTAACACAGCGTAAGGACTGAGGCTCTGAGGTGAGGCAAGACATTATGGCCCTTGGAAGAAGCACCAAGACAGGTGGCAGAGGCATGAAGACAGATTCTGGGGAAAGAGGTGAGTTTCACAGAGGAGCTACTGGAAGGTCTTCGGTGTCTGGGTCCCAGCAATGTGAGAGATAAGGATGGACGTCCCAGCTTTCACCTGGTACTTGCAAGAGAAAAACACCTTTCCCTTCAATTATTAGGAAGAGGCTAGAGGGCAAGGGAGGCAGGTTGCTTTGAACTTGCCCCTTCATGGACCTGTAGGATCTGGGAACAAAGGAACTGAACGGAATTCGCTGGCAGGACAGCAACTGGTGGGAAAAAGAAATGACAATTCCCTGGGTCGCTGAGTCAAACCTCGGGCTTGGATTCAGTCCCGGGCCAGAACAGCATCTCTTCTTCCGAGGGGGTCACCTCAGCTCTCTGGGTGGGCCATGTCAGCTTACTGAACCTTCGTGATCCTGCGAGTCCCTTATGTCTTAAGAGACACACAGCGGCGAAGACATCTCTCCCAGAATGCCCTTCCCGTCAGCCAGCAACCAGCTCTGCTGGCAGTGTCCTCCGCACCCACTCTGTACCAGGTGGGGGTGGGGTGGGAATGTGCCAGCCCATGCCCTGAGCTGGAGAACGTGCCTGGTTTGCAGAGGCTCAGAACTCCCAGTCATCCACCTCCAGCTCCTCCAGGTTTGTCACCAAGCCAAAGATTCCACTATGATCCTGAGACTGGCTGCCCTCAAAATTGGTGATTGGGGTGACAGGACGAAGTAATTCAGGCAAAGCTTCTGAGGCACGGCGCTTGATCTGCGGGAGGAGAGTTGAGTGGTGAATGGGTTATGGAGCTAAGAATGGTGAAGGGGAAGAAACAGCATTTCAGGGGCTTCATTTCTCTAATTCAAAAATACGAGAAAATATGTAGGGAGCTCCAGGGCTAAGGAGCTCAGACAGAACAACGGGCAGGAAGAAACAAGCAGCTGAGGGAGACTGCTCTTATACCTGTCTGAAGAAGGAGTGGCTCAGCAGGGCGCTGGCGCTCGGCCTGGAGAGAAAGGGGAAGAGATCCACGTCACCCTGTGCCACCTCCCACATCCTGCCACTTGCACCTCTTCCCAGGTGCCCTCCGCTTCTTGCCTCGGCTCCCCAATCCCAGCTTCTTAGCCGGCCCGTGAGCGGACGTCCCTCTCGCTGTGGAGCCCCACTTCCTCCTGAGAACTCAGGCCCCCACAGGCCTTTGAGAGGCACGTGCTCTCACACCTTGGCCCGGCTCTGAGCTTCCTCTCCTCTTCCTGCTCCCCGAAGCCCAGCCCCAGGCCAGAAGGTACCTTGCATCTGGGTTGCGCTGAAGGCACTGCTCCACGAAATGGTGGAAGTGTGGGGAGAAGGTTCGGTGGTAGGGGTGGAAAGGCGAGTCACCGTTGGAAGACCGGGGGATGCCGGTGGCCAGGCTCTCGCCCAGGCCAGAGTTGGCTGCTGAGCGCGAGGGGCTCATGGTCAGCTCCTCCACAGGGATGGTGCTGGTGTCCAACAGGCAGGGCACCGTGCCATTCAGCTTCTCCAGCAGCATCTGGGGAGGAGAATCAGGACCTGAGCTGCAAGGGGCCCCAAGGCCCGAGAGCCTCTTTAGAGTATCCTCCCCATCCACCTGACCTTTGGGAGAAAGGATGGAAGCCACACGAGGCTAGCTTTTCCACAGAGATGCGGGCCCCGGGCTCAGCAGCTTCCCCTGGCTAGGCCGCAAGAGGGAAGAGGAGCAGAGGGAAGACAGAGAACCCTTCCCCGCGGCTGGAAGAAGGGTCCGCAGTTTCCTCTCCCCCTACCCATCCAGCCCTACTCTAGGGTGGAGGGAACAGCCCAGGTACTTTCCCGGAAGCCCAGCCCCAGGCCGCCGTACACATGTGGGCCCAAAGGGGTTCACAGCGTAGTACCTGTAACACCACATCCCGGGCTGTCACAGGACGGGCTGCACAGGAGCAGTGTGCCCAGGGTCTGGGTGTGGGCAGCCGTTCCAAAGCCCTCAAAACATATATGCAAACCCAGCCCCACTTTGAATACTGCTATCTTTACGGGCATTTTCACAAACATAATGAGCTGTCCAAGCCAAAAATCTAGAAAGCTCTCTAGGGCGGCACTAATATGGCACCACTAGCGGGAGGTGGCTCTTTCTATTTCAATTAAATCGGGTTAACAATTCAGTCCCTCAGTCTCACTGCGACATTTTAAATGCTTACTACCTACGGGTGGCTAGTCGCTGCCATACTGGACATCATAGGTATAAATATCTCATCACTGTAGAAAGTTCTAGACAATGTTACTTCTAGATCTAAAGCACTTGCACCCAACACAAATTTTGTTTTTGACTTCTCTGTGGTACTGGGGCTCTAACCCAGGGCCTCTAACCTAGGCAAGCACTCTGCCACTGAGCTATATCCCCAGCTCCCTAAATAGCCTTTTAATCCTTCTTGAGCATTCTTCAGTTACTGAATTATATTTCTTAGCCTTCCTGATACCGGACCTAAATGCTCACACCGTCATAACTGGTCTACTACAGTTAATGCACTTATCAGAATGACCTTTCTAAAAACATACACACGTATTTGCCATTGCTATTGTTCCTGTACCCCCGGCAGCCATTCTCCACATGCTGTGTGTTTTGTTCTGGAGCAGGAGCCAAAGGCTTCAGGTGGCACACGAAGCTCTGCACAAGGTGCCCCTGCTTCCTTCTCCAGCCTCATCACTCAGATGGAGCACCTGTACTTCAGCCACACATCCTGATTCTGGGTCTAAAGAGTCAGCTGCTGCTCCCACTCTTCCCATGGTGAAATGCTCTTTGCCTTTAAGACTTAACCCAGGCCCGGCCATCCTCTAGCTGCCCCGGGCCCATGCCCTCCCAGTTCTAGGTCATACTCCAGACGCCTGGGAGCCCAGGTAATCCTTGCTCACATGACCTCTAAGTCTGCCTCCTGGACATAATGAGGCCTGGGCAAGCCTCTTCCCTGGGCATGTCTACTAAGGACAGACTGTGCCACTACCTGGGTGCTCCTAGGCCAGAGGGGTACTGCCAGGCAAAGGGCAGGCAGGTCTGCAATAGAAGGTAAATTCTTGCACAATGAAGTTTCCAAAGGAGTGGGACAGAATGTGATGGCCTGCAACTCTGAGATGTCTGAGAATTCTAAATCGGAAACTGATCTTCTTTATCAAAATAGGAAGATAGAAGATATTTTATAAATTCACAAAAATTGGTCAGCTTAGTTTATATGCTTTACGCAGACATAAAGTGTATGAGCTTCCATTTACACTACCGCCCTTGGGCTCTCCCCACCCTGGGCTGGGTTCCATGGCCACGGCATTTTACACACAGAGAAAACGGAATTATACACTCATCCCCACTGGGGGAAGGGGCGGCTCTTCTTGAAAGAGAGGACCGGGTCTTTTATCTTTCAACACAAAGCCCTAGTCAGAGTCCCCGAGTGCGACAGGTAACCACAAACATCTGGGAAAGGCCGGCAAGAAAGGAAGCACTGGACGGCAGGCTCACCTGGGTGGCAGGCATATCCTTAAAGGGGACATGGCCATTGGCCAATTCACAGGCTGTGATTCCCACACTGTAGATATCAGACTTGGCATCATAACCCTGAAGATTCTAAGTCAGGAGAAAAAAAGCCACAGATGATTTACTTGTAGCCTGGTGTCTCGTTAGGAAGGAAAAAAAAAGAGCAGATCAAAGCCTGAGTAAGAAAAGAATGCTTGGCCCAATGACTGGTCCTTGCTTCTACGGCTGCAGATGAACTGCCGTCTTACAAGGAACACACGTCTGCTCTGCGGGTACTGAGGAGGACGAAGTGCTGGGGCCCACGCTCCAGCTCAGCACGTGGGTCTGGAGAGCACCAAGCAGTTCCCAGACGCTCACTCTTCCACAGGTGGGACGATCCCTGAGGGGAGCTGAAGTAGTATCAAGCACGGGCCAGGGCCCCAGCAAGCAGAAGCGACACCCATCTGCGGTAGTAGGAAATGTGCACAGTGACTGGGCTCCCCAGCACACCTGGCCAACTGGGCCTCCTCCCTCCAGAACCCTCTTACTCCACGCAAAGCGCTCTTCCCTGTCCCAAATTCTCACAGGCTTCTTTGGGAAATTGTGAGGACTGATGGGGCCTCAGTACACACACCTGCTGGAGGACTTCTGGGCTGAGCCAAGGCAGAACCTTGATACTGTACTTGGGAAAGTCGTGGACCACACGCTGGCGCTGCCCATGACTGATCATGCTGAGGTTGCTGCGTAAACCAGACAGGTAGACCTTCCCATCCACGGAGATCAGAATGTGGCTCGATTTGACGCTCCTGGGGGAGGCAGAGAGGGTGCCGTGGGCAGCAGGAGCCCTTCACACGACAAACCTTCAGTCTTTACACCTATCTGGTGGCTCTCTCCCGTGTGTGTGTGTGTGTGTGTGTGTGTGTGTGTGTGTGTGTGTGTGCGCGCATTTTATACATACACACATTTTTATGAAAAATTTCAAACATACACAGAAAAAGAGAAAATAGCATGAGGCCACTTACATATAATAAAATTCAAAGCTTCTTATGTTTTGTTCTCTGTTATGCGCAAGACCCTCTTTTCCCCATTTCCTACCAAAAATACTGACTCCAAGACAGCGTGGAGTGAAAAGGGAAGAGAACCCTCGGTAGACTGAAAGCATACACACACAGAACAACGGTAAGCTTTGCAAGTTTCTACAACACGCACAGATGTACGTTTTCAATCTACCTGATTTCTGCGTTATCCTCTTACTCTTCCTTTTTCACTCCACGCTATGTTTTAGAGTATTTTTGGTTTGGTTTTTACTCAGTGCTACGTTTTTAAGATCCATCTGTGTAAACAACAATAACAAATGATCCATCTGTGTCATTATCTGTATCCTCTGCCCCCACCCCTGTACTGGGAACTGAACTCAGGAACACTCTATCACTGAGCCCTCTCTATTTTTTAGGACAGGGTCTTGCTAAGTTGCCCAGGCTGGGCTAGAACATGCAACCCCCCTATCTCAGCCTCCAGAGTAGATGAGATTATAGGGATGTACCACCACATCCAGCTGACTGTCCCCTCGAGTCCACGGTGGGATCTAACACCTTTACTCACCCATTCTCCAGGGAGGAACATTTACCCGGCCTGTACTCAGTACAAATATGACCAGTGACATCTGCACACACGCCCGACGGGTCTGCTGCTCTGGGATGTACACCTAGAGGCAGCACTGACGGCACCGGTTCCGTGTCTCTGACCGGCCGCACGGGGGCACCCACCCCCGGGACACAGTCATCTTCCTGCACTAGGACTCACCTGGCCTCCTACTCACCACTGCTCCTCTTTTTTTTGGTTTTTCTCCGGTACCGGGAACCGAACTCACAACCTTGCACTTGCCAGGCAGGTGCTTTGCCGCTGAGCTAAATCCCCAGCCCCGGTCCTCTTTTTTTTAATGGTAGTGGGGCCTGAACCCAGAGCCTTCACACTGAGCTACATCCTCTAGGTCAGTGGTGGTGAACCTACAGCCCACTACAGTGGGCTGTTCTTATCACTGAAAACTCTGCCCTAGGCTTTTTTTTTCTTTTTTCTTTTTTTTGAGACAGGGTCTTCCTAAGTTACCCAGGCTGGGCTAAAACCTGTGGTCCTCCTGTCTTAGTCTTCCAGAGTGCTTGGATTACAAGCATGCACCCCATGCCTAGCTGCTATGAGTCTCATGCAAATTGACATCTTCTCACGTACTTTTCTCTGATTGCTACATCCGAGTGTCCCTACGATCTCTAATCGTTGGAGTTTCCTCTTCTATAAACTTCATCTCCTTTGCCCACTTATTACTTTGCTTCTTTTCTTACTGCTTTGCAAGATTTCCTTTATGTTTGAGACAAAACTACCATCTTCCACTCTGTACTTGTTTCTTCACTTTTTCATGGTGTCCTTTACTGAACAGAAATCCTTAGTCTTGATATAATTAAATCCATCCATATATTGGGTTTATGTTGTGTGCTTCTAAAATACTTAGAAGTCCTTTTATGCCTCAGATCACAAAACTAATTCCTCTGGTTAAGTCTGTAGGTTCAAGTTCATTTAGGCCTTTAATCTTCCAGGTGTCCTCTTTGTATGTAGAATCAGAAAGGGCTCTTACTTTATTATCCTCCCTGGTCTGAGCTGGTTTTCCCGACATCACCTACTAAGCAATTTGTCCTTACCCCAGCCACTCAGCATAGGACCAACTCTGGGGCGCACAAGAAGGAAGACAGGGAACAACAATCCGCCTCCGGGAACAGGGGACGACAACCCACCTCAGATATTCCTCATATGATACACAGGACCAGCCAGGGCTACACAGTGAGTGCAAAGCTAGCCTGAACTACACAGTGAGACCCAAAGTGTTTGAGGCCAGTTGTCAAAAAACAACTGAGGCCCATAGTGTCAAAAAACAAAACAAAACAATTCTCAGGACCAAAGTGCTCAATAAAAAGAAAGTCAGTGGTTTCAGCACTGACAGGCTAAGTGACTGTCCCCCAAGTCAGTGGCAATGTCAGAATGCAGATCCTGATTATAAACTCTGGCTTCATTAATTGCAGTCAATTTTCAAACGCTTCCTAGAGAGATCAGGGTCTCAGACTCCCACTCTTACTAATAAAGAGTGAAGCCGCTGAAGAAGCGGGCTGTGCAGCGCGGGTGTGGTGGAGCTTGCCTGTAATTCCAGCACTCGGAAGGCTAAAGCAGGATTGTGAATTCAAGCTACACAGTGAAGTTCAGGTCAGCCCGGACTACACAGTGAGACCCTGCCTCAAAAAGCCAAAACAAAACAAACCCCCAAAAAGAATGTTACCTGTGCACATAACCCATGTGATGGATGTAGTCCAGAGCCTTCAGAACCCCCTGCAGAATGTAAGCAATCGCCAGTTCATTCATGCCATCCATGAAGTGTGTGCCAATGAGATCTTTTGCAGAACCTGAAGAATTGCAGGAAGATAGCAAAGGGCAACAGAGAGAGAAACTACCATACCAGTAATCCGCCGACAGAGGTCTAAGAATTCTCTCCACCAGGGACCTTCCCGACTCACCATACGCCATGAATGACGTGACAACCCACAGCTCGTTGTCTGCGATGAAGGTGGCTCGATACGGCACGATGTTGGGGTGACTGAAGAGCTTAGAGACATGAAGCTCCCCCTGAAAGCAACGGTGAAGCTGGAGTCAGGATCAAGGGGGCACTGAGGAACGCCGCCGACACGACGCGACAGCATGAATAACACAGGACCTTGTTCTTTCCGGGTGCTCTCCTCAGAGGCCTAGGAGTAGCCCGAGCACTTCCAACGTAGGAGAAACTAGCCCCACCGGCCCCACAAGGAAGCCAGCCTGCTTTGCCAGCTTAGACCTCGGAGTGGCTCTGGCAGCCAACCCTCAAGAATCCGAAGGAGCACTTGGTGGGCTGAGGCAGGAGGACCACCACAAGTTTGAGGCCAGTTTGGGCTACATAGTGAGTTCAAGGTTAGCCTGAACTACATAGCAAAACTCTACCTCAAAAAAAAAGAAAAAAAAAAAAAAAAAAAAAAAGAGAGGGGAGGGAGGGAGGAGGGGAAAAAGAAAAGGAAGGAAGGAAAAGAGGGAGGAAGGGAGGGACAGCAGAAGGAAGAGAGGAAGAAAAGGAAGGAAGGAGGGAAAACCAGCCCCAAGTGGTATGTAATCACAGCACTTGAACATCTGAGGCAGGAAGATCATTAAGTTTGAGGTCAGCATGAGCTACATAGCAAGTTGAAGGCCACCCTGGACTACAGTTAGATGCTATCTCAAAAAACAAAAGAAACTGTGCATGGTAGTACATGCCTGTAATCCCAGCAGTTGGGAGGCTAAGGCAGGACGATCACAAGTTCAAGCCCAACAGGGGAAATTTAGTGATTTAGTGAGACCCTGTCTCAAAGAATACAAAACCAGGGCCGGAGATATAGCTCAGTGGCACAAATGCCTGCCTAGCAAGCACAAGGTCCCAAGTTTGATTCCCCGTACCAAAAAAAGAAGCCAAGGAATACAAAAACAAAACAAGAAACAAACAAGCAAATCCCAACAACCCCCCCAAAACAAATTTAAATATTATAGATCACAAATATAAACCAATAAAAAAGAAAACAAAAAATTTTCCTACTATATAAAAATATAATAGTTAGCCAGGTGTGGTGGCACACGCCTGTAATCCCAGCACTCGGGAGGTTAAGGCAGGAAGATCATTCCAAGTTCGAGGCCAGCCTGGGCTACAAGGAGAGCTCAAGGCCAGCCTGACTGCATAGGCCAGACCCAACTGCATAGGCCAGACCCTGTCTCAAAAAGACAAAACAGCCTCTATCCAGGCTTGTGGCAGAAATTCCAGCGTCTTAGCCTTTGGGACACAAGCTAAGGCTAAATGGGCTGTACCTTCTGCCTGTCCACTGCTTCAGAAAATAAAACCCAGAAGAATCACAGAATCCAACATGCTCTAGAACAGATCTGTGCTTTTGCTCACATAACTTAGCTGGGCATGGCCTTCTGCTCCCCCCTTAGCCCCGTCAAGCTACTCTGAACAGATGCGCTGGGACTAGAGCGCCATCAGGTGAGCATCAATTCAGGAAACGGGGCGAGGCAAGAAGGGGCTGGGCTGCGAGCAGATGGACCGAATGTATGAGGAGCTGGGTCTCGCCCCGGTGGTGTCAGTGCAACGAGAGGGTGGCTAGTTGCTTCCTGAACAGGAAAGAATCTCAGGCAAACAGGACGTTCACGGCTGGAAGCCGGCCCCGGCGTCAGGGCTCGCAGCCCTGCATCGGAACAACGCTGCCCGGCTCCAACTCATGCCTCTGCCGCTTACTACTTACGCTCTCTGAATAATAAATAAACAGATGCGCCAGGAAGGAATGTATGAAGACAACGGAAATACACACCGGATCACGCTGCACTGCAGCCCACTCCTTAGTGCTAAGCGCCTAAGGTTCTTCACTGACCGCTTCTGTGACTTCTGAGCACCTGCCCGCTTGTTTCTCCCCACAAGCTCTCAGGACTCAGGGAAGAAACGCGCCGCAGTCACTGTGACCGAGAGCCCAGGCTTCAGCGTCACGCTCGTGTCTTATTACCTGCAAGAACGTCACCATCTCGTTCGAACAAGCTTCCAGGTTAATCCTGCGCACGGTCACGTACTCTCCTGTCGGTTTGTACCTTGCAAGATTAACTGTCATCAGGTCCTCAAATCCTTTGCCTAAGGGAAAAGAATGGCATTGTTTATGACAGTAGCAGGTTTCTGTCTTCTTTAAAGAAAAATGACTTGATTTCAACAGGAAAGTTAAACTTCTTGGCTTTTCCTTAGTTCTTTCTCAGCCAACTTTCTACCTGACTATAGATAGCCCAGGATATCCCATTTTTACGGCCATGAGGAAAAAATTACAAAAGACCCTCTGTTCTGGAAATTTGATTTCATCTAATACCTGGCAGCAGAAACCCAAAGAAAACTCACGGAAGCCAGGTTACATTTGGTCTGTCTGGTCTGCTTTGGTTTGGTTTTGTGAAAGGGTCTCATTTTGTGATTCAGGCTGACCCTGGACTCACTGTGGCCTTAAACTCAAATCAATCCTCCTGCTTCAGCCTCCCGAGTGCTGCGATCACAGGTCTGCCCCACCACACCCGACTCAGAACCATGGATCTTACTAACTAGCCGAGAAAGCTGTAGCCGTCTGTGGAGGAGAGAAGCAAGGAGAGTTCCTGCACATTACCTATGACACTGAGCAGCTCGTAACACCCTGCCTCTGGCAGGAAGCAACTCATGATCTCTTGTTTGGAGAAGGATGCTATCGACTCTGAGCTCGCCTCATTGGTCTAAAGAAAAACAAAAACAGGTTAACAGAGAAAGTGGGGCAAAATGGGCCTGGGGTAGATGTGATAGTTTAGACCCATGAGGATACTCCCATCTAAATAAACATATAAACCCTGACTGTGTGGCAGAATACAGGGCCAGTATTATTCGAGGAGAAATAAAACATCAGGTGCTCAGCGCACTAATCAGCAGGGATGTCAGAGCAAGTTAGTGCCGGCAATATCTACAAACGCGGCAGGGCATGGAACCTGTTCGTCAGCTGCTAACCTGCTTGTCCTTCCCAGCAACTAACTCACTGGCTCAAGTCTATGAAATTCTTACTTGGGGAAAAGTTGTGTGGAGAAAGACACGTTTAGAAAAGAGAAAAAGGACAAGAGACGTGAAGAGTTCTTGTAACTTTCTGATGCATTAAGATCCTATTTTTAACGTCCTAACTGCAAGATCCTAAAAGGGCAAATACCAAATCTTGCTCTCAGCAGGCATGGGGGTGCACAGCTGTCTCAGCAACCTGGGAGGCTGAGGCAAAAGGACTGCAAATTCGAGCCCAGTCTGGGCAATTCCGTGATTTAATGAGGTCCTATCTCAAAAGTAAAAAAGAACCAGGGATGCAGTTCAGTGCAAAGGCCCTACATTCAATCCCCAGTACTGCAAAAAAAAAGAGAGAGAGAAAGAAAGGGGAAGGAAGGGAAATGTGACCGGAAGAAGACCCCTCTTTAGCAAACCAAGGGGCCAGGCTGGTAACTCCCGCACATTTACAAGTGAGTGGTGCACCGAGCTGCAGGCCAGGGCACAGCCTCCAGGTCTCAGCCACAGACGGGCCCATAAAAATTATGCTCAGACTGGGTGTGGCGGTGCATGCCTGTAACCCTAGTACTATGGGAGGCTGAAGCAGGAGGATCAAACTCTGCCTGGGTAATTTAGTGACACAGTGAGGCCCTGTCTCAAAACACAACAGATCATGCTCAGTATGTTATCTGAACACAACATACTCTTCACACAGCATTTCCACAGTGCAGCTGATCTTCCTATAGCTCAGTTAGGTAGTTGGGGCAGATATCTCTATTTTTCAATAATAAAAATGAGGACCAAAGAGATTAAGTGACACAGGACCCAGGCCCACACCAGGGAAATGAATATACTCCTCTGTTGACATTTTGAGCGCATCTGGTTTCAAATATTTGATGCTACATAACTAAGTGTGGCAGCATAGCTAGGTGTAATCCTAGCACTGGGGAGGCTGAGGCAGGAGGATCACCTGGAGCTTGAGACCAGCCTGAACTACATAGTGAGATCTTTTCTAAAAGCAAAACAAATAAAACATAACAAAAATAACCTCCCTCAAGCCCCAAATATATATACGTAGTTGACACTGCCTATGAGGAAAGAACCCAAACGGGGCTCTGCCTCCCTCACCACTTAACTGACACTAAGAAGTTAGTCAAGCAAAATCCAACCCAATCACTGAAGTCCATTTTTAATTTAATCCAGTTTTTCTCTAAGATTCAGCAATATGGTTGCATTTGGCTGTAGTTCATCCACTTTCACTATTAAATAATATTCCTCTCATGAACATAACCTCCATTTATCCATTCCAACACGGATGAGCTTCTTGAATTGTTTTCCAATTCTGCTATGAGGAACTGTGTCTGAACATGTCTCCTGACTAAAGCCTATACCTAGGAGTGGATGGAGCTGGTAGGTCACAGAGCACATGAAGATTAACACTGTGAAACCATGGCAAATTGTCTTCCAAAACGGTTACACTACAGCACATCCTCCTCCTCAGAGTCGGTGCTGTCAGGTTCACTATTTTCGGCAACCGCACTGCGGGCCTGATTTACAGCTCCCTGATTAGTGATGAGGATAAATACCTTTCCGCACACTTACTGGCCATGTGAGTTTTCCTCAAGGTGAAATGCTTCTTCCTATCTTTGGTCTGTTTTGCTACTGAGCTGTTTTCAGTGCAGCGTTTTCCCAAAGTAGGCCTACTTTTGTTCAAGTGACACTAACCCTGGCAAAGTTTCCACAGACAATTAAGCTAGGAAATGCACATACTTTCTGTCACGGAGAATCCCGAGGCTTACTCCCATATTAAAGCATGGGGAGGGCCAGGGATGTAGCTCAGCAGCACAAGCGCCTGCCTGGCAAGTGCAAGGTCCTGAGTTCGATTCCCGGCACCAAAATAAATAAATAAATAAATAAAGCATGGGGAAGTTCTGTCGTAAAGAAACTTGTTCAGCTCTGTCCAACCTAGCACTTCCCAATGATACCTGCCCGGGAAACTTCTGTGCCTAATATCTGTTAACTTTTAGGAAAGACAATTTGGAAAGGCTAGTTTCAGTAAAAGATATGGCATAATGCTTAGTGGCCAGACAGAGACAGAATTTGAACTTGGGTCTATCGCTGCCCGTAACCCCAGGAAGTTACTCCAACCAAGTGTGGCAAACCTACGGCACTTGTGCCGCAGGGGGCTGTGTACAGCACTGAAAACTCTACAAGGCTTGCCATCACTGCTCTAATCTCCTGGAGTCTCAGCAGTGGTATAATTCCTATCTCACAGGCTCATTACGACTATCAGATTATAACAATATTACAGATATGTAAAAAGCTTAGTATTACCTGGTGTATAACAGGTATTCAATATATATGAATTCTATTTTCCTCTTTATTGCTATCTACTTTTTAGTGACTTTCCACTCGAACAAAATGGCAGTGAGTGACGGAAACAGAAACACAGGTGGAGCTGGGCATGGTGGCACACGCCTGTAACCCCAGCACTCGGGAGTCAGAGCCGGGAGGTTCACCCCTAGTTCGAGGCTAGCCTGGGTACATGGAGTTCAAGGCGAGCCTGGACCACACGGCAAGACCCTGTCTCAACAAACAAACAAATGAAACCCAAATGGAGCTTCATTTATTTTAATTTTTTTATGTATCTTGGAAAACAAACTCTATGATCATTTGTCACTGTAGCTCTTTGAAATTATCTTGTTCTGGCCAGGCGTGGTGGCGCACACCTGTAATCTCAGCACTCGGGAGGCTGAGACAGGAGGATTGTTGTGAGTTCGAGACCAGCCTGGGCTACCAAGTGAGCTCAAGGCCAGCCTGAGCTGCAGAGCGAGACCCTGTCTCAAAAAGACAAAAACGAAAAGAAAAAAAGAAATTATCTTGTTCTTAGAATGATCTTAAAGTGCTGGTTACTACGGCTACGGCTCTCGTGGCTTTCCTCACGGCGGACCGCCCTGCTTCCTCCAGGCCGTGCCTTTCTTCCCTCTTTCACACGGCCCAAGCTCCCTCTGCGGAGCCAATTTCTCCCTCACTCTTCACTTGTACCTTTTCAAATAAATTTTGCCACTGCTTTAAAAAAAAGATACTACATGCTAGGTACCCCACAAAGGTGAGAGAGACACACAGCAGAGACAAATGAAATTTGAGCAATTTGAGCAAAGCTTTGGAACGGTGAATCTGTTTGTTTAGAATTTAGGGTGCTGCTTTAGCTGTTAAGCATCCTATCTTCTCCACCTGTAAGGCCACTGCACACACTCTTCTCTCCATCAGATCAGTGCCATCAGGGAACTGGAAGTTCAGTGGGCTGCTTTCAGACCCAAACCCCTCCTCAGCCTCGGAACACCCGCATGATCTGACTCCCACCTCTCTGCTCCCTCCCCCGTGTGCCTCACCCCCACTCAGCTCACTTTCCCCACACAAACCAGCGTGGCCCAGCCTCAGAAAGCCGGCACCCGTCACCCTCTGTTTGGAACACCCCAGCCCCATCTGCCTTTGTGCTCCTCCACCAGCCTTCCATTTTCTTATCACTGTCCTCTCCTCATCGCTGAGATTTTAACTTAAATGTCAACTCTTCAGAGACAATTCATCCAGAAGAGTAAAGTGGGCTCCTGGTCACTCTATTATAGCAGCTTGCTTTACTGTTTTAATAGTAGTCATTATTCTAGTTCATCTGTTTCCTGTCTCTTCTACTAAAATGCAAGCTGGGCTGGGGATATAGCTCAGCAGCACAGCACCTGCCTGGCAAGCACAAGGTCCTGAGTTCGATTCCTGGTACCAAAAAAAAAAAGAGAGAGACCACTAAAATGCAAGCTCCACAGGGAAGGGACTATCTGTCTTGTTCACTGATGTATTACCCATTGCCTAGAATAACAGTCACAAATATTTAAAAAGCAAAAATCATTTCAGCAAAGTTTGAACTCTGGAGGTTTTCTGCCCAGGGCCTCGTTGTTCCCATGGGCTGAAGAAAAGAGAGGCTGAATGCCAGTTCCTTAGAGATACAACAGCCTCTACCAGAAATGCCAGCACTCATGCGGCACATTCACAGACTCCTGGCACAAGGGGCAATCTAGAGATCACAGGCTCACAGCCAAGGCAATTAGCACTACAACCCCAATGCAAAGCAACTGTTTTGTTTTGTTTTGTTCTGAGACAGGGCCTTACTATGCAATTCAGGCTAGCCTTGAATTCACTATGTAGCTGAGTCTGGCCTTGAGCTCAAAGTAATCCTCCTGCCTTAGCCTCCCAAGTGCTGGGATTACGGGCATGCGCCACCACACTTGGTTCAAAAAGCAACTACTTTTTAAAGGATTTCTCTTCTCTAATCACCTAATTCCTTAAACTTTCTCTAATTTGAAAAAGAGAGAATGGGCTGGGGATTTAGCTCAGCGGCAAAAGCGCCTGCCTGGCAAGCGCAAGGTCGTGAGTTCGGTTCCTGGTACCGGAGAAAAACCAAAAAAAAAAAAAAAAGAGACCATGGCCAGTTGTAGTGCCTCATGTCTGTAACTTCAGCATCAGGAGGCTGAGGCAGAAGGATCACCACATGTTCAAGGCTAGCCTGGGTTACATAAGCGATTTCAAGGCCAGCCTGTACTACATAGTGAGACTCTGCCTTAAAAAAATAAAGAAAAAGAGACTAGTAGGACAACTGGGTCCTGAGATCAAGGTATTTATAATGTACACTTTAAATAAATACACAGTTGGGAAAAACTAGATATACAGATATGCTTTTTACCTGTCTTTTGTCCTTGCAAGGAGCACATATATATAGGACATACTGTCTACCAGGCATTACCCTAAGGCACGTTCTTGTTTAGCCTAGACAGGGAATGGTTCATTAAACTACTGATATTCTTAGGAACATGACAAATATTTCCATTTTCCATTATTAATAGAGAAAACTAATCAGAAGTGTTAGTTTTAGAAAATAAACCCTTTGGGTAGCTGGGAATATGATTTCCTGGGCAACCTGCATGCAGCTACACGAAATGTACCAGGGATTGTTGTGTCTCCTCCACCACTCTGCCCCCAGCTCACTGGAAATGACCCTGAAATGGAGGCTGTTTGCTTTGTGGCTACTGCAGGTCTCCGTCAGAGAGAACCTTTACTTAGGAAAGCAAATGAACAAACCAGGAAACAAGGGCAGTATTCTAAAAGGATGCTGACACAAGAATGGGAGGTTAGTCCACTATACTGTTTCAGATTCACAGAAGGTCTAAATTCAGATGAAAAGGATGGAATTTTAGCCCATTCCGTTTAAACATAAGATGGTACAGTTTTATTTGCATAATGTACAATGTCTAAATGCTCAGGAAAAGAAACTAATTCTATTAGAGTTTTTTTCTTAGTTTCTCACACCAAAAAAAGCATTTTATTTGTTTTGAAGCATTTGAATAATACATAAGCTATTGACATCCAGATATTACCATAAAATGATGTTGTTTAAAGAGTTTAAAACAAAACACATTCCAACATGACAAAAAGAAAACAAAAATGCAATGAAGCACACAAACACAACGTTTAGAAAATGTCACCGAATAAACACATCCAACTTTCCACAGGTTTCACACAGGATAGCTTGTGAGAGAATGCTGACAGGTATGAATATATAAAATTACATACAATTGGTATTATACTCTGGAAAAAAGTCTAACTGATCGTACAGGGTAACTTTTTGGTCTCCTGAGTAAAAAAGATTTGGACCAGCCAGATGTGATGGTGCACACCTGTAATCCCAGCACTGAGGCGGCTGAGGCAGGAGTTCAAGGCCAGCCTGGGTTACATAGTGAGGTGAAGGCCAGACTCAACTGCATAGCAAGACCCTTCTCAGAAAGACAAAAAAAGGATTCAAATCTTAGAGAAAGGTGCTTCTGACTAGCAGACTACATAAGCACAGCGGAAGTTTTACTCAAAAAGAAATTCTTAGTCAATATCATCATCCTTCAGTCAGCCTTGGGGCTACCTACAAAAGGTGCAAATACTTATAAGCCCAAGAAAGAAGTATACTTAGAAAAGAATACTTATCTTCCTGCTTTGTAAGACACTGATTACATTTTTCAAAATAACGTGGTACCCTGTGCACTTCTTGTGCTATTTCCTTAGGTAAAATAAACCAGCAGAGGAAGCAGAGCAAGTCTTACAGCCTTTGCCAATGGCAAAAGTAAATTTTCTGTTTTGTAATTTTAAATTTTGGTTTCATTTTTAAGATAGGAGACTGAAGTCCTACCTTATGATCTAGACAGACATCTGTATTATCTCTATGGACTGAAACCTACTATTAGTAGACTGAGGGTGGAGAAATTAGAGCCACTAGGCACTAAAAGATAACCACATTTCAGATTGGTGAAATTTATTTGCGGGTAGTGTTGAGGGAATGGTATGTATTTAGGAAGAAGAGAGAAGAGATCTTCATCTCCAGAAGAATCCCCAGATGTGCCTCAGATATTTTCACTCTAAACTACACATCAAAGGCTTTCCAGGGAGAAACCTGCATCTCTACAAGTGAAACGATTATGGTACAAATAAAGCTCCATGACAGAGAAGCAGAAACACAAAATGATCAGCCAACAAACCACATACAAACTTCCACAAGAAGTCATCCCATGCAACAGCCATAACGCTAGAGCCTGGAAAGTCACTTACTTTTCTCCGAGTGTCACCCGGAGGCTGCTCTGGAGTAGAGAAAGTGATGGTTGGCATTGTGTGGTTTAGCAGAAGACACACCCACGTCAGAACAGCAATCACTGCACTTCGGACTACATTTACTAATAGAAATCCCTTAAGGAGTCATTACAGAGAAAAGTGGCTGCAGTGCTACATATGAACACACAGGCACAGATCCACAGTGAAGATGCTCCAGCTAGATGGGGCTGTAACCATGACGCTGCGGCTCTTCAAAGCCCGCCAAGGCCGCTACTCCAAGGGTACTCTCTCCTGAGGACGACCCCACCGCCACAGTTCTGCTGCTACGTTTCTTGTCATCAGCACACAGTGTTACTTTAAACAGGCTGGTGTCAGAGCCAAGCTTTATACAGTTCCTTTTTCTTTCCTTCCTTCCTTCCTTCTTTTTTCTTTCCTTTTCTTTTCTTTTTTCTTTCACTTTGTCACTGAGCTATTCCAACCCCAAAATTCATTTTAAAGTCACAGAGATAGCTGGCTATTTCCCAGGAAGTACAAGGACTAGAAAATAGTGTTATTTTTTTGTTTTCGCTTTTGGCAAACAAGTTTTAACATAGTAACACATATATGGAGGATCATTACCCAAACTGATTTTCCAAAATCAGGTACACTCTATTCTGAACACAAAGTAACGGCTTTATGGGCTACTCACAGTAAAAATGAACAAATCATAGAACAATTGAAATAATTTTCTGTTCTTGAATCAGACAAATTCTATATGTGCTTTTGACTTTTCAAATTTTGTAAGTATTAAAAATCATTAAGTTGGAGGCTGGGAGTGTAGTTCAGTGGTAGAACATTTGTCTAGCATAGGTGAGGCCCTGGCTTTGATCTCCAGTGCTACAAAAAAAGGAAGGAAGGAAGTAATTAAGTGCTGGGCTTAGTGGCATATGCCTATAATCTTAGCAGCTCTGTGAGCCTAAGGCAAAAGGACTGCAAGTTCAGGCCGAGCTCAGACATTCAGCAAGACCCTGTCTCAAAAATAAATAATGAAAAAAGGGTTGGAAATGCAGTTCAGGGTTAAGGCCCTGACTTCAAATTCCCAGTTCTACAAAGAAAAGGACAATGAAAGAAAGGAAAGGGAGGAAAGGGAAGAAAAGAGAAGGGAACAGAGAGAATGATGTTGAACTGTAAAGTAGTGGATTACAAATTTCCAACTATCTTAAATTATACAGTTCTAAATATCTTAAATTATACAAAATCAGACAATTAAATTTAGTCAATAAGAAAAATGCAGCTGGTTATGGTGGTGCACCCCTGTAATCCCACCACTTGGGAGGCTGAGGCAGGAAGACTGTTGCAAGTTTAAGACCAGCCTGAGCTACAAAGTGAGCTCAAGACCAACTGAACTGCATAGGGAGATCCTGTCTCAAAAAGGAAAAAAAAAAAAAAAAAGAAAGAAAAAAGAAAAAAAGAAAAACGCGTTCTTCAAAGACGTAACAACTAACTATATTGTTAGAGGGCATTGGTTGCAAAACAAATTAGTCTCAATTTATCAAAATAGGAATTTCCTCCTCCTTGGACATCAGTTTTCTGGTATACAAACAGCAGACGCAGTTGCTTAAAGCAGTCCATCAAGAAGAAGCACCAGAAGAAAGGATTAAAAGAAAGTCTAACTCAATTTTCCAGAGTAGGAGGCAAATTCCAAGTTGTGTAATACTTAGTAATACAAATTTCATGAAGTAACTATATAGAACAACTGTGTATGTACTTTCATCTGATCGGACACCAGGGTAGTGGTGGCGAACCTATGGCTCACGTGGGACAGACAGCTATTTGTTATCGCTGAAAGCTCTAAAAGCCATCTCTGCATTAGGGCATTGTCAAGAGACAGCCACAGCAAGCTGGGCGCGGTGGTGCACGCCTGTAATCCTAGCACTTGGGAAACTGAGGCAGGTAGCTGGAAACCTGCCTACTTTGAGGCCAGCCTGAACTACAAAGTGAGATCTTGTCTCAAAAAACAAACAAAAAAAAATCTCCAAAAAAAGATAGCCAGAGAGCCTGTACTGAAAGGATCAAATCCAAAACCCATTCATGCAAGTCCCATACACGGACCTGGGCACAACGGTGCAGGTCTGCAATCCCAGCAGAAAGTGAGGGCGTAGGGGAGTGGGGAAGGCAGGAACATCACAAGTTTGAGCCCAGACTGAGCAAGTTAACAATTTAGGGAGACCCAGCCTCAAAAATTAAAAAAGGGCTGGGGATGTAGCACAGTGTGAAGGCTCTGGGTTCAAGCCCCAGTACCCCCAAATAAATAAATAGTTCAGCTGGATAAATACTCAGAAAAAACACACATGCCTTCAAATAAATATTGTATTGACTTTCTAACAATCACGGTATGTCGAGGACATCTGCCAGGTGAGTCCTCAAATCTTTGGGAAACAATGGATTCAGAAAGGAGTCACACAGCCAGGGGCGTGGTGGCGCATGCCCGGAATCCCAGCACTCAAGATGCTGAGGCAGGAGAATCACTGCGAGTTCCAGGCCAGCCTGGGCTACAAAGTGAGGCCAAGGCCAGCCTGAACAGTACAGTGAAACTCTGTCTCGAAAAGACAAAAAATAAAAAAAAAAGAAAGAAAGAAAAAGAAAAAGGAGCCAAATAACCTAACAACTATAGTTTCACACTGCTCTCAGAATTGCTAATTTCTATAAACTGACTTAGTCAACAAAAGAGTTGTGATACGTGATATTTATCCTGAATTGGTAGCTAAGTGGCATAACGTACTTACCTCCAAATAGTTCCAAATCTCTTAAGCCCTCAACAATGAACTTTTCCGAGACCCACCGCTAAAGAGGAAAACCCCAAAGAGAATTAGTATTTCTTCCAAACCACAACGAATCAGCTATCAGCCTCAGACAAATAAAACCACAGCTACAAAAGCAGAATCATGCAGTATAGACAGAATACATTTCTATGAAAAGTTCTGAAAAGAATCTTGAAGTCAACCTCAAACAACAAATTAACTCCTTTCTCTATTCCTCGTTACCCCTAATCTTAGGCAGAAGGATGACTACATCCTAAATTCAACAGATGGGAAATACACAGTACTGGCCCTAATAATGAACGCTTTTGTCTCTTCTATGTACCAAATTATCATTAGCTCCATCTTACTCATTCCATAGCCATCTATTATAGATGCTTTGGATCATTAACGCCAATCTGAAAAGTATCATTGAAATTCAAAATACAGAACACAGCAATGGAAGTTTTTCACATGCCCCAATTAGTTTGTAAATTGAAACACAAGCTACATATTCTTTTATCCCCTAGGCCCTAAGGTTTCTACAAGCATCACCATTTACATTTCCTACTGAGTTCACAAGGACCACACTGCAGGATCAACCTACAGGCCAGTTCACCTTACCGGCCTATTTGAAATGCGTATTTGATTTCCACCATACTGATCAGGGTCTGGTTTCATCTGAATCAGGCAAGGTTACAATAGAAAAGTAGTGGAACCAAGACTGTATTTCACTTAAGGATTGGTGCCAAAGGTCGCATGCAAGCATTCTCTGCACAGAGTTCAGGCTAAGGAGAGATTCACTTTTTCCTCTCAACACTGACTTTACAATGTAGATATTCTTATACACATAAACATAATAAAGATTAACGTTCTGAAGTAAGTTGTGTAACAGATTGTGAACTGGAGCTATATAGTCACTCTGTCCTTATCTATAACAATTTTCTTCCAAATAAAAAACAATATAATACATGTAGGGCTAGGGGTTTAGTCCAGTGGTAGAGTGTTTACCTAGCATGTGCAAGACCCTGGGTTCAACTCCCAGCACTAAAACAAGCAAAAGGCAAAATATTTACATGTACTATACCACACAATATAATTTGGGTTTTCATATTTAAAGAGATTGGTAAACTCATGTCTCATACTACCTACATAGTTAAAATTTTAAAACAATTACTACTGCCTTTAAAAATTAAGTTCTTGAAAATATACAAAAAAAGATATTCTTATGAAACCATGGGGGCTTGGGGCCGGGGATATAGCTCAGTGGCACAAGTGCCTGCCTGGCAAGCCCAAGGTCCTAAGTTCGATTCCTGATACAAAAAAAAAAAAAAAACAAAAAAAACCACAGCAGCTTATAAAAAAGCTAAGTCTAGTATTTATTGCTGAGGTCATTTCAGCTGATAAAGCTTTAAAGTGTAACAGATTTTTCACGTTCAATTTCAAAACGTCTTCAGTTAATGGTAATGACCCTCCTTAGAAAAAACTGCTGTAGTAACTGCAATTTGATACTGATTTTAAAAAAAACCCATCAAAAGCGAAGGAAACGGGGAAATCATTAGCAATTATACCTCTATATCGAAAAGGGCTATCAACTTATTGAATGTGACTGATATTTATTCATAAAACAAGTCACCCTCTTGTTTCTTCTCTATCAGATACACCAGTAGTACTGTATATTCTGTTTGTCTTGGTCAGCCTCTACCTGAAAGGTCTTTTCCCCAGAGCAGAGGGCGCAATATCTGCCTTGCTTCCTACATCCCTCATTTTGCATGACTCTGTTTTCCCATAAAAAACCACCAATAATATCTGTCAAAACATTTTATTTTCAGAAAAGAAAGATAGTAAAGTCAGAAGAATGGAAACACTCACCCTAATTCGCTCTGGTTTACTTACAAGGAAAGACATGAGTTCCTACCGTGCAGACTTACTTCAATCTCAAAACCTTAAACCTAAAAGGAAAACAGAAACGGGTTGTTAGTCAAATCTTTTGTTATTTTAAACAGGCATGTGCCACCACGCTTGGCTTAAAATTCTGTCATTTCTGTAAGAAAAAATTTGTTATTATATAGTACTCTTTAATTTTTAAATCTCTTGACCCAATTCCCTCTTAACCTCCTCCCAGAAGTAATTACCTTCAGTTCTTTTAAGGAATTATTCTGCTTTTTATCACCATCCTTAAAAACATTTGTATGGCTATGACTTATAAATCTTAGACATTTATCTAACTTTCTACCATAGTAACTGAAGACTAAGCTCTCCTATGTGACCTCCCCCCACCCTACTTCCTGTCCTCATTCTGACATAATTTTTGGTTACATTCATTGTCCATATTTATATCATTATGACTATGCAAATATAGTTTATGGCTGAGGCAAGCCGCAGAGAGGACCACTAACCTTATTTTTCCTATATTGCTGAAGACCTAACCCAGGGCCTCACACAAGCTAAACGTGTATTTTACCATGGAGTTACACCCTCAGACCAATGTCTCCTTTCTGTGTATCCCTTCCTACCCCTCCTAAGGTTAACACCTGCCTCATCTGCTCTCTTGCTTGGTTTCTTTTGTAGCTATTGCTGATATAAAATAACAGCTCTGCTTTAAAGGAAATAAGAAAATAGCTTATTCTGAGCCAAATATGAGTGACCATGGCTAGGAACATCGTTTCAAGTTACCCTACATCAGTGATGAACCTTTGAGAGACTGAGCGCCCAAAGTGCAACCCAAACCCACTTATTTATCAGAAAGTGCCACAATGCGATTAAACCGGCTGCTGGGGCGATGCTAGGTCAACTTGGCTCACCTGCCAATAGAGAGGGTTCTGCGTGCCCGCTGAGGCACATGTGTGATAGGTTCGCCAGCACTGTCCTAAATGATGTGTTCTGAAGTGAAAGTGGTTACATGAACTCTTATAGCTAAGGAACAAACAAAGTCCTAAGTCAATACACTCAACAGATACACTGGTATTAGATAGGTAGGCTAAGTGAAGAAACCTTTCCTATGAGTTCCAATAGGTTTTAGATGTTATACCATTTTTAGCTTTAGCACTGGAAGAGGCTAATTATGTGCTAAGCCTAACAATACATTCCGGTAAGTTTTCCAAATAAGAGTTTTGAAGCCGGGCGTGGTGGCGCACGCCTGTAATCCTAGCACTCGGGAGGCTGAGGCAGGAGGATCGTTGTGAGTTCAAGACCAGCCTGGGCTACAAAAGTGAGCTCAAGGCCAGCCTGCACTGCAGAGTGAGACCCTGTCTCAAAAAGACAAAAAACAAAACAAAACAAAACAAAAAACAAGTAAGAGTGTTGAGGTCAGATATAAATGCCAGGGCTGGGGATGCTGGGGATGCTGGGGATGCAGCTAGCTTAGTGGCAGAGCTTCTGCCTCGCATGTGAAGGCCCCGGGTTAGCGCCCAAGCACAGATAAATAAAAGCTGTTTTTTCAGCTGGGCATGGTGGTGCACGCCTGTAATCCCAGTACTCAGAAAGCTAAGGCAGGAAGATTACCACATTCAGCCTGGAGTACATAGTGAGTTCAAAGGATCCTGTCTCAAATCTCTCAAATGAGAGTGAGAACAACAAAGAAGGCTATTTTCTCAAAGACCTAAGATGGCCCAAAATAATTCTGGTTCCACACACGCAGAGTCTCACCTCCCACAAGCATGATGTTCTACTTAGTTAGCCACGGCCTGCAAAACACAGACATGGCTTCTGGAAAACTTCAGTTTCACACTATTCATTTCTTCCAAATCCTCTTACATCTTTGCTGTGCGCCTTGTCCATGTTTTTCCACACCCTCGATTCTAATTTGCCCTTGGAGATGGCCCTCTCAGGGACCTGCGTTCTCCCGCTGCACCCAGACTAGCGGGCCTCTGGCTAGCTGCACGCCATCTGTCCTTTTAGGGCGGAGCAGTGCGGTGACGTTTTTCAGTTCTCAGAACTATTTTTGTATTATTTCTTTGATCTTGTCCTCGCCATTTTCTCTGTTCTCATTTTACAGAATTCCTGAGAGTTAAAGGTGTACTTTTAGATTTATCCCCTTAGTTTTATACTTTACCTCTGTTTACATTCCAGTAATTCCTTCAAATTTTCTAATCCTCCTATACTAAGCATTATGTTTTAGTTATCTATCCAAAACTTTTGCCATTTCTTAAATGTATATTTTTTCCCATGACCCTATCTTCTGTGACATCTTTTGTTCACACTTAAGAATTTATATCCAGGGCCGGGAGTATAGATCAGTAGCACAAGTGCCTGCCTGGCAAGCGCAAGGCCCTGAGTTCAATCCCCGGTACAAAAAAAAAAAAAAATTATATCCAGAATGGCTAAAAGCCTAATGTGCTATGACTAAGTAGGATTATCTCAGGAATGAGACTGATTTAACATTCAATAATGAATCTATGTACGCAAAAGTATTTTTGTTTGAATTTGTTGAAGAATAATTTTATGGAATTAAAAAAACAATTTACTTCATTAAGTCTATGAGAAAAACTCATCTTGATAAATGGGAAAAAAATTATCTCATAAAATTCAATACCAGCGCATGATTTTAAAAAATTCTTGGCCCAGCAGGAATAGAAGGGAACTTTCTCCACTTGATAAAGGTAAGTACAAAAGTTTACAGCTAACATGATGCTTAACGGTGAAAAACAAAGTTTCTTCTAACAAAAGCAACGAAGTATAAATATCTAGTCCCTCTTCTTCACATCACAGTAGAGATCCTGGTTCGTGTGAAAAGGAAGGCAGAAATTATAAGCAAACAGACAGAAAGGAAAGTGTAAAACTCTTTATTCACAGACAACATGATTGTGTACGTTAATAAATTCTAAGGATTCTACAAAAAAATTCTACAGAAAAAAATAAATTTAGAAGCAGGGAACACACCTATAATCTCAGCACTCTGGGAAGCAGAGGCAGTATATCACAAGTTCAAATGTGGTCTGGGCACCTCAGCGACTTAGAGATCCTGTCTCAAACAATAAAAGTGAGAGGATGTAGCTCCTTGTGCAGGTCTCAAGTTCAATTCCCATACCACACACAAACAAACATACACAGAATTTAGAAATGAAGTCAATTACAAAACCCCAGGGGGCTGGGGATTTAGCTCAGCGGCACAGCGCCTGCCTGGCAAGCGCGAGGTCATGAGTTCAATTCCTGGTACTGGAAAACAAACAAACAAACAAAAAAAACCCCAATGTATTTTATATATTAACAATGAAGACTTAGAAAATGCAAATTAAAAAACAATACCATTTCTAGTATCAACAAAAATATTTTAAAAATTATACCTGTATACCTAAGATTATAAAACACTGCGTAGAGGAATTAAAGAGCTACACAATGTTCAGAGATTGGAACATTGAATACTGACTGTTAGGACATCAATTCTCTCCAAATTGACCCAAAGATTTAATTCCAGTCAAAATTCCAGCAGATAGCCCGCGGTGGTAGGGCATGTCCACAATCCCAGCACTCAGGAGGCTGAGGCAGAACAGCACTGAGTTTGAGGTCAGTCTGGGCCACATAGGGTCCTGCTATGTAGTTCAGGCTGGCCTTGAACTCACTACTAGCCTAGGCTCGCTTTGAATTTACAGCGATCTTCCTGCCTCAGCCTCCCAAGTGCTGGTATTACAGGTGTGTGCCACCACACCCGATTTCTCCTTTTATTTTTTTAAAGCAAGGTCTCCTTTAATCACTAAATTGCCTAGGGTAAGCTTGAACTTGGGATCCTCCTCCTTCAGCCTCCCAGAGTTCTGGGACTACAGGTGAGCACCATCACATCTATCTTCAAAAGAAATTTTTAATTTAT